AACCGACTACATCAGATGTGCGAAGTCGGCTGACACCTACAGCCTTATACACCAGTTGCTAACTGACACATCTTCCAGTAAGAAATCTTGGTTTGATTATGACAAAGTGAGTACCAATCAAGCAACCTCCCAATTATATTGTAAGTATTGCAAGCTCTATGGACATACCATAGATAAATGTGGAAAAGCCCAATACAAAGGCTATAGTGAAACTCCTAAACCCAAACCGACTCCTCCTAAGTCCTGTAAGCCTGTGATGAATGTTGGTGTTCCTGTTAATGATCTTTCTCTCTTCAGCAAACACCTATACCCTGGAACTGTCTCTGCCAACAGTACAGATTCGGAGGGATGTTCTAAAGTGAAGACCTTGAGGGACACAGCTGCGCTTCAGTCTATCATTTTGAAATCAGCTGTGCCTAACATCACCTACACCGGGGAGGCGATCCTTATCACTGACCTCACTGCTACCACTCCGTATCCACTTGCCAGAGTCCACCTGGATTGTCCTTTCGTACAAGGTGAAGTCCAAGTCGCCATCCGGGAAAAGCCTTTTTCCATGACAGGGGTACAACTTCTCCTGGGCAACGACTTGGCCGAAGATCTGCAACCTTCCAACTTGATCATCATGGACAAACCCCAGGTATGTGACTCTGTAGTGGAAAACCCCATCTTGAAGTATATGCCAGCAGAGGTCCAAGAAAGTGATAAAATCTCTCCTCCGGTTTTGGTGACAACTCGTGCGCAAGCTGCACACCCGCAACCAGCTGACTCTACTGCAACAGCTGTCCCTCAAGACCATCAGAATCTACCACCGAATCTTACTATGTTGGAGTTCCGTAAGTTACAGAGGGATGATCCTTCATTAACACCATTATTCTTCCAGGCCGAGACTCAATATGACAGTATTCCTGGGTTCTTCATAAAGAACCAATTGCTCTACCGGAGGTACCGACCCAGTAAACTAACGGAGGATGACGATTGGGCTAATGTCGACCAACTAGTAGTTCCCACCAGCCTACGGCCTGATATTCTACACCTGGCCCATGGAGCACTTTCTCACTATGGTTTTAATAAAACCTATCACGGAATCAGACAAGGCTACTACTGGCCAGGTATGATTAAGGTTGTAAAAACTTATGTACAACATTGTCATTTATGTCAAATGGCAGGAAAACCTAACATCCCAATTCCCAAGGCTCCTTTGATTACTATCCCGGTGCCTTCAGAACCTTTTCACAGACTCATCATAGACTGTGTTGGTCCTTAACCCCGGACCAGTTCTGGCAACGCTTATATACTAACCATCCTGTGTCCAACCACCAGATTCCCCATAGCAGTTCCTGTAAAAAAACATTACGGCTGCTACGGTGGTGAAACAACAATTGAAGATCTTTACACAATTTCATCGGGAGATTCAAAGTGACTGTGGCACTAACTTCACCAGTAATCTCTTCAAGAAGACACTGGAAGAATTCAACATCACTCAGGTATTGTCCAGTCCCTATCATCCTGCTTCACAGGGTTCTCTTGAACGTAGTCACCACACTATAAAATCACTCCTTAAGAAATTTTGCAATGAAACTATGAAAGACTGGGATAAACAACTTGACATCATCATGTGCATTTTCAGAAGTCTCCCATATGAGTCTCTAGGAGTGTCTCCTTATGAGATGCTCTACGAACGTAAGTGCCGTACTCCTCTAAAAGCTTTTAAAGACTCTTTACGTAATGCCACCTTCAGTGACCCCTCAGTATGTGCCCCAGTTTCTTCAAAACTTAAAGCATATTCTAGAAAGAGTACATAAATTTGCCAATGATAATTTATTAAAAGCTCAAGATAGGATGAAGACTCATTATGACAAACGCAGTAAAATCAGGAAATTTAAAGCAGGAGACTTCGTTTTAGCATATTTTCCGATTCCTGGTTTTCCATTGCAAAATAAGTTTTCAGGACCTTACCGCATCAAGGAGTGCAGAAACAACCACAACTACGTTCTTGAGACTCCAGATAGGCGGCGGAAGACTCAGTTGTGCACCATCAATCTTTTGAAGGAGTATAAAGGTATTCCCCCCCACTGTGCTAGTATCTCTCTCCACCTTTAAAGATCCATACCTCCACAGTGAGACCTTCCCTGCTTCTCCTCCCGAAAGCACTAACTCTGAGTCAGTGCCTTCCAACTCGGAAATCCTTACTGATCTTCCTAAATATTTACAGGACTGTAACAGTGCTCCTCTCATCAAAGTTCTTAAAGAACATCAGAAGTTCTTCAGCGATGATCCCCAGGAGGGTAATGTGCTTCAGCACGACATCCAGCTTCTTCCTGTTACTCGGCCGATTCGTCAACCCTTCTACCGTATCAGCCCATACAAAAAGGAAGTTATGCGTGCTGAAGTACAGTACCTTCTGGATCATGGGCTGGCCACCCCTTGTGAGTCCCCTTGGGCCTCACCCTGCATCTTGGTGCCGAAACCGCACGGTAAAGTACGACTATGTACCGACTATAGGAAACTGAACCTTGTGACCGTCAAGGATGCTTACCCTTTACCTCGTGTAGATGATATCCTTGACGCAGTAGGTAATGCTAATTATCTGTCCCAAATTGATTTGTTAAAGGGCTACTATCAGATCAGCCTGACAGAGCGAGCTAAGGAAATATCTGCCTTCACCACTCCTCTTGGCCTGTACAGATATGAACGCCTTTCTTTTGGACTGTGTAACGCTCCGGCCACCTTCCAGCGAGCTGTCAACCGCGTCATCCACGGCCTAGATCACACCTACACCCACTTGGATGACATCGTTGTGGCAACTAACACCTGGAGCGAACATCTGCTCTAGCTGCAACGATTGTTCTCCAAGCTCCTGACAGCTGGCCTTACCATCAACTTGGGCAAGTCCACCTTTGCTAAAGGTAAAGAACGTTGTCTTGGTCATGTGATAGGGAGTGGCAACCTTGCTCCTTTAACAATTCACACTCAAGCCATTCAGCATTACCCACAACCTACAACCAGGAAGCAGCTCCTGCGCTTCCTTGGCCTTGCATCTTACTATCGAAGGTTTGTGAAAATTTTAGTACGGTAGCCACACCATTGATTAATCTAACCAGTTCCAAGCAACGGTATCATTGGACCATTCAACAGACCGTTGCCTTTGAACAACCAAAATCTCTGCTATGTTCTGATCCCATTCTCGCCTCTCCAGATATTACGAAGCCCTTCATCATCAATGTCGACGCAAGTGGCACCGACATCGGGGACGTCCTAATGCAACAGTGTGGCGAAGAGGTTCTTCCTGTCAGCTACTACAGCTAAAAGTTAAAGCCTCATCAGAAGAACTATAGCACCATAGAAAAGGAACTCCTTTCCATCGTCCTGAACCTAACACATTTCGAACCTTACCTACAGGGTAATCGGTCTATTACCATCTACTCAGACCACAATCCTCTACGGTTCCTGCAACAGGCCCAATTCAGCAATCAACGTCTTCTACGATGGGCTCTGTATCTGCAGAATTTTAACCTGGAGATATTCTTTGTCAAGGGCTCGGATAACATCATAGCCAACGCCCTCTCCAGAGTGTACGAGGTAGAGGCTCCTACTCCTACCATTCTACCATCTACTGAAGTAACTTAACCCGTAAGAGCAGGTATCGGGGGGAGAGCTGTGACGGTAATCTCTTTCAAAAGAGATTTGGCCTGCTCTTTCCTACATAAAGTTACTTCAGTAAGTCTATAACATCAGGATACTACAATCAAGAGTAGTAAATATATATATGTTATAGAGTACGTTTCTATAGGGGGTTTACGTAGCCTACACTCGCTCTCCAAACCCCCTCTCTTCGCTGTCGGCGCACAACCCTCGTCGATCACCAAACTATCACTTCCAGCCAGCGACTCCACTCGGAGTCGCGACTGAATCGGCGACTCCACTCGACTTCAGGGCCATCTGCATCGATAATGACTAGTCGTGCACGAGCAGTTGGCTTTAGAATATTCTGTGCTCTCAAGGCTGATACTTCTCTCTAGCATACGCTCTGTGTATTAGTGGAGGTTTTCAGTCAGCCAATATTCTCGGCACTTTTAACTCATTTTTTTTGTCTTGTTCATTGTAGAGTAACGTAACCATTATTTTATATTGTGTTTTGTCTTTGTATTTATGTTTAATTTGCACTGTACATAGCCAAGGGATTATCTTTGTTTATATTTGTTTAAAGTCAATTAAAGATTCATTGTTTATAAGATTTGTTTTGCATGTTTTTCCCTTTTTACTTAACCACAGGAGACAACAGCCAAGCAGTCAACTTTTTTTCTCTTTTTTTTTTTTTTAATGTGATTGGCATTTACACCAGCCATTGGGAGGACTGCCTGACACCTACATTTTCCCATCACAATATAATATATATATGACGTAATGAACTTCTTTCATTATACCACAAGAATGTTTCTGTTATGAGCCGAATGATGCCTTTTAAATCTCCTCTAGGAATTGTTTTTGGCTTCAGCTGGCATCCGACAGCGATATGCAAACCAAGACTGATCAGTTGGCTTGGTCACATAATGCCGGTGAGGGATATTCCTATGCTGGAGGTCCAGTATACGACTGGTGAAAGCGTTTGCTTGGCTGTTCAGGTCTCCCTGGAGCAAGGCATTCCAATCAGTTGATTCAATCCCTGAGCAGAGGTCTGGCCAATTTTCCCTGTCACAAAGCCAGGTAATTCTAAGAGATTCTTCACTTTGATTGGTCGGAATAACCAGTGTAGTAAAGACAGCCTGGTGGTCTAAAGAACCAACATATCCCAGAGGCCTGCAGTGAACTATACTTGCAGGAAGATCGGTTATGACAAGATCGAGAGATGAACCCGATATGTTGGTTGGAAAGCCTTTTCGAGATTGAAGACTGTTAAGAGTTTATCAAAATCTCTTTGAGTGAAATTCTCTCCTTCACTCCCTCCCTCCCTCCATCCCTCTTTCTTTCTCTCTCTCCTCTGCATACCGTATACTAACCATGCAGTGAAAGCTGTTCCCTTGCCTTTCCATTGCTCAGTGTCTCTGATGATCTTCTTGATACAGGCCAGGTCATCTGTGAGGTCATCATCCAGCAGGTCTGAAACCACATATACAATGTCATCTACACAAAATAGGTCACAATAACGAGTTCGAAATGTAACACCAGGCTCCCTCATATGAGGTGAAACTGGCGAGGTTTCGCTTCATCCTGGACACCTATTGTATCAGGAAGAAGAGGGAGAGAGTGACAGAATGTGACCGAGAAGGGCACGAGGGGAAGATGATATGAAAGAACATGAGAAGTAAAGCATGAAAGTCAAGCTGGTGTTACTTTTCATATAATATGCTTGGGATTTGTTACGCACTAAGCCAAGTACTGTAAATATGTACCACACACCTGAGCCACACACCGGAGGCACACACCTGAACCACACACGTGTATCACACACCTGAGCCACACACCGGAGGCACACACCTGAACCACACACGTGTATCACACACCTGAGCCACACACCTGCACCACACACCTGAGCCACACATCTGAGCCACACATCTGAGCCACACATCTGTACCACACACCTGAACCACATACATGTACCGCACACCTGAGCCATACACCTGAGTCACACAACTTAGTCACACACCTGTAACACACACCTGAGCCATACACTTGAGGAACACACCTGAGTCACATGCCTAAGCCACACATCTAAGCCACACACCTGTACTACACATGAGCCACACACCTGCGCTACACACCTGAGTCACACACCTGACCTACACAACTCAGCCACACACGTGAGTCACACACCTGAGCCACACACTTGATTCTTACAACTGAGCCACACACCTGTACCACACACACCTGAGCCACATACCTAATCAGCAATAGAATTACACACATGTAACACACACTCGAGCACCACACCTGAGTCATATACTTGAGCCACAAACCTGAGTCACATACCTGATCCAAACACCAGAGCCACACACGTGAGTCACATACCTGAGCTACACATCTGAGCTACACACCAGAGTCACACACCTGAGTCACATACCTGTGCCACACATCTGAGCTACACACCTGTATCACACACCTGAGTCACAAACCTGTACTAGACACCTGAGCCCCACACTAGAGCCACACACCTGAGCAAAACACATGAACAATACACCTGAGTCGCACACCTGTACCATACACCTGATTCACTCACCTTAGCCACACATCTGAACCACACACCTGTACCCCACACCTGAGGCTCACACCTGAATCATCCACAATTGAGCCACACTCCAGAATCCCACACGTGAACCACACACCTGTGTCACAAACCTGAGGCACACATCTGAGCCACACACCTGTATCATACACGTGAGCCACACACCTGAGTCATACATCTGAGCCCCACACCTGAGGCATACATCTGAGCCACACACCTGTGCCACACACCTGTGCCACACATCTGAGCCACACACCTGTGCCACACACCTGTACAAGGAATCCTACAGACGTTCTTGCCCTTCCTGGCGTCGTCGCACCAGAACTTGTTGCTGAGCTGGAAGAGGCCGTAGTCCTTGCTGCCGTCCCAGTTGCCGTGGTTGACGGCCGTCGTGTTGAAGGTGGACTCGTACTGAGCTATGCATACCCCTGTGGTGATGTGGTGGTGTTGGTGGTGTTGTGTTGGTGTTGTGGTGGTGTTGTGGTGTTGTGGTGTTGTGGTGGTGTTGGTGGTGTTGTGGTGGTGTTGGTGGTGTTGGTGGTGTTGTGGTGTTGTGGTGTTGTTGTGGTGTTGTGTTGGTGTTGTGGTGGTGTTGTGGTGTTGTGGTGGTGTTGGTGGTGTTGTGGTGGTGTTGGTGGTGTTGTTGTGGTGTTGTGGTGGTGTTGTGGTGTTGTGGTGGTGTTGGTGGTGTTGTGGTGGTGTTGGTGGTGTTGTGGTGGTGTTGTGGTGGTGTTGTGGTGGTGTTGGTGGTGTTGTGGTGGTGTTGTGGTGGTGTTGTGGTGGTGTTGTGTTGTGGTGGTGTTGGTGGTGTTGTGGTGGTGTTGTGGTGTTGTGGTGGTGTTGGTGGTGTTGTGGTGGTGTTGGTGGTGTTGTGGTGGTGTTGTGGTGTTGTGGTGGTGTTGGTGGTGTTGTGGTGGTGTTGTGGTGTTGTGGTGGTGTTGGTGGTGTTGTGTTGTGGTGGTGTTGGTGGTGTTGTAGTGGTGTTGGTGGTGTTGAGGTGGTGTTGTGGTGGTGTTGTTGTGGTGGTGTTGTGGTGTTGGTGGTGTTGTGGTGGTGTTGGTGGTGTTGTGGTGATGTTGTGGTGTTGTGGTGGTGTTGGTGGTGTTGTGGTGGTGTTGTGGTGGTGTTGTGGTGGTGTTGGTGGTGTTGTGTTGTGGTGGTGTTGGTGGTGTTGTAGTGGTGTTGGTGGTGTTGTGGTGGTGTTGTTGTGGTGGTGTTGTGGTGTTGGTGGTGTTGTGGTGGTGTTGTGGTGGTGTTGGTGGTGTTGTGGTGGTGTTGTTGTGGTGTTGGTGGTGTTGTGGTGGTGTTGTGGTGGTGTTGGTGGTGTTGTGGTGGTGTTGTGGTGGTGTTGGTGGTGTTGTGGTGTTGTTGTGGTGTTGGTGGTGTTGTGGTGGTGTTGTGGTGTTGTGGTGGTGTTGGTGGTGTTGGTGGTGTTGTGGTGGTGTTGGTGGTGTTGTGTTGTGGTGGTGTTGGTGGTGTTGTAGTGATGTTGGTGGTGTTGAGGTGGTGTTGTGGTGGTGTTGTTGTGGTGGTGTTGTGGTGGTGTTGGTGGTGTTGTGGTGGTGTTGGTGGTGTTGTAGTGGTGTTGGTGGTGTTGAAGTGGTGTTGTGGTGTTGTTGTGGTGGTGTTGTGGTGGTGTTGTGGTGGTGTGGTGGTGTGGTGGTGGTGTGGTGGTGGTGTTGTGGTGGTGGTGTGGTGGTGTGGTGTTGTGGTGGTGTTGTGTGGTGTTGTGGTGGTGGTGGTGTTGTGTTGTGTGGTGTGTGGTGTGTGTTGTGGTGGTGTGGTGGTGGTGTTGTGGTGTTGTGTGGTGTTGTGGTGGTGTGGTGGTGTGGTGGTGTTGGTGGTGTGGTGTGGTGGTGTGGTGTTGTGGTGTTGTGGTGGTGTGGTGTGGTGGTGGTGGTGTGGTGGTGTGGTGGTGTTGTGGTGGTGTTGTGGTGTGGTGTGGTGGTGTTGTGGTGGTGTTGTGTGGTGTGGTGGTGTTGTGGTGGTGTTGGTGGTGTTGTGGTGGTGTGTGGTGGTGTTGTGGTGGTGTTGTGGTGGTGGTGGTGTGGTGTTGTGGTGGTGTTGTGGTGGTGGTGGTGGTTGTGGTGTTGTGGTGGTGGTGTTGTGTGTGGTGTTGGTGGTGTGTGAGTGTGTGTTGTGGTGTGGTGGTGGTGGTTGTGTTGGTGGTGGTGTTGTGGTGGTGTGTGGTGGTGGTGGTGGTGTGGTGGTGGTGTTGGTGGTGTTGTGGTGGTGTGTGGTGGTGTTGTGGTGGTGGTGTGGTGGTGTGGTGGTGGTGTGGTGGTGTTGTGTGGTGTTGTGGTGTGTGTGTGTGTGGTGGTGTTGTGGTGGTGTTGTGGTGGTGTTGTGGTGGTGTTGTGGTGGTGTTGTGGTGGTGTTGTGGTGTTGTTGTGGTGGTGTTGTGGTGGTGTTGTGGTGGTGTTGTGGTGGTGTTGTAGTGGTGTTGGTGGTGTTGAGGTGGTGTTGTGGTGGTGTTGTTGTGGTGGTGTTGTGGTGGTGTTGGTGGTGTTGTGGTGGTGTTGTTGTAGTGGTGATGTGGTGGTGTTGTGGTGGTGTTGGCGGTGTTGGCCGTGTTGTGATGGTGTTGGCGGTGTTGGGGGTGTTGGCGGTGGTGTTGGAGGTGTGTTGATGGTGTTGGTGGTGTTGGGGGGTGTTGTGGTGGTATTTGCGGTGTTGGGGGTGTTGTGGTGATGTTGGCGGTGTGGTGGTGGTTTTGGTGGTTGTATTGGTGGTGTTGCGGGTGTTGTGGTGGTGTTGGGGTGTGGTGGTGGTGGTGTTGGGGGTGTGGTGGTGGTTTTGGTGGTGGTGTTGGGGGTGTTGTGGGTGTGGTAGTGGTATTGGCGGTGTTGTGGGGTTTCGTGGTGGTGTTGGGGGTGTGGTGGTGGTTTTGGTGGTTGTATTGGCGGTGTTGTGGGGTTTCGTGGTGGTGTTGGGGGTGTGGTGGTGGTTTCAGGGGTGTGGTGGTGGTGTGGTTGTATTGAGGGTGTGGTGGTGTTGGGGTGTTATGTTGTTTGGAGGGTGTGTGGTAGTAATAGTAGTTATGATAGTAGTTAAGTGGTAACGATGGTAGTTACGGAATAGTGATGGGATCACGAGAGAAACCACAGGTATTAGACTCAAATAAATCAAAGTAAAAATGACATTAAACACTAAATAAATGAGAACAATTGTGATTTTAGTAATCAAAAGTAAGTTTTGTGCGATAATTAGAGATGAGGTCAACATTTGAATACGTACACTTCTTGACCTCGCCCCGGGTCATGTTGTGGGTCTTCTCCAGCACTGTAGCCAACTCACACTTCTCGAAGACCTTCCCTGAGGTCATCTCCACCATGACCTCCACCACCAACACCCACAACCACGCCAACTGCCTGCGGGGGAGAGAGAGACAGAGAGGGTGTACTTACTTAGTTGGGTATGCAGGGGATTGAGCTTCGGCTCCTTGGTCCCGCCTCTCAACTGTCAATCAACTGTTGTAGAGGTTCCTGAGGTTATTGGGCTCTAGACAGAGTGTTCCTCAAAGGGTTCCACTTGAACCCTCTAAGGGTTAAGGGGTAAGGCTCTAAGGGAATGATTTAATGTCATGGGCGGCATTGAGTAATAAGGATATTATTTCTGTTGCATATTATTGCTTATTTATTATGGTAGAGAGGATTTTGAAGAGCGAGTGACTAAGAATGGAATGTGATCCTGAACTTTGAGTACCAATGTGGGATATAAGGACATATTCTCTGTACACAAAACAGGTGATATAATTCCATGTGCTCTACTACATTCCACTTTCCATGTAGATGTGGCTCACTTGACAGTTGTGAGAACTACACGTACCGTGGAGCAATGTTATCTTGCAGAGTCGGGTTCGATCTCCGATGACCCTGTTGGTTTTTAAATGTTTCTACATTTCGTCCTAATATGTGAAACTTGTTCTCCTTTTCCTCATATCCAAGCTCCTTGTCCTCATATATACCACCTCCTTGTCTTCATATCCCAGCTCCTTGTCCTCATATCCTAGCTGCTTGTCCTTATAACCCACTTCCTTGGCATCATATTTCAGCGTCTTGTTCTCATATCCTAGTTCCATGCCCTCATATCCTATCCCCAGATCTTCATATCTCGGCTCCTAGTCCTCATATCCAAGATCCTTATCCTCATATCCCAGCTGTTTGTTCTCATATCCCAGCTCCTTGTCCTCATATCCCAGCTCCGTGTCCTCATATACAGCTCCTTGTTCTCATATCCCAGCTCTTTTTCCTCATAGCCCAAATCAATGTCCTCATATCCCAGCCCCTTGTCCTCATACCCCAGCAACTTGTCCTCATATCCCCTGCTCCTTGTCCTCATATCCCAGCCCCTTGTCTTCATATTCCAGCTCCATGTCGTCGTATCCCAGCTCCTTGTCCTCATATATATACCACCTCCTTGTTCTTATATCCCAGCTCCTTTTCCTCATATCTCAGCTCCTTGTTCTCATATCCCAGCCTCTTGTCCTCATGTCCCAGCTCATTGTCCTCATATCAAAGCTTTTGTCCTCATAACCCAGCTACTTGTTCTCATATCCCAGCTCCTTTTTCCCTCATATCGTACCACGTTGTCTTCATGTACAGCTCCTTGTTCTCATATACCAGATCATTTTCCTCAAATCCCAGCTCCTTGTCCTTCTATCCCCGCACTTCGTCCTCATATCCCAGCTCTTTGTCGTCATATCCCTGCTCCTTGTCCTCATATCCCAGCTCCTTGTTCTCATATCCCACCTCCTTTTACTCATATCCCAACTACTTGTCCTCATGTCCCTCCTTCTTCTCCTTATATCCCAACTCCTTGTTCTCATATCCCAGCTACTTGTACTCAAATCCCAGCTTCTTGTCCTCATATCCCAGCTTTTTTGTCTTCATATTCAGGCTTCTTGTCCTCATATCCCAGCGACTTTTCTCTTATCTCAACTCCTTGTCCTCATATCCCTGCATCCCGGCTCTTTATTCTCATATCCCAGCTCATTGTCATAATATCTTACCCCCATGTCTTAATATCCATGTCCTTGGTCCTCATATCTCAGCTCGTCCCCATTTCCCAGCTCCTTGACCTCATATCCCAGCTCCTTGTTCTCATATTTCAGCTGCTTGTCGCCATAACCCAGTTCTTTGTTCTCATATCCCAGCCTCTGGAACTCATATCTCAGCTCCATGTTCACATTCCACAGCCCAGTGTCTTCATATCCCAGCTCCTTGTCCTTATATCCCTGCTCCTTCACCTCACGTTACAGCTCATTGTCCTCATGTCCTAGCTCCTTGTCCTCATATCCCAGCTCCCTGTCCCATATCTAACCTCCTTGTTATCATATCTTTGCTCCTTGTTCTCATAATCCAGCTCCTTGTTCTCATATCCTAGATCCTTGTACTCATACCCTAGCCCCTTGTCCTCATATCCCTGCTCTACGTCCTCATATCCTAGATACTTGTTCTCATATTCCAGCTCCTTGTCCTCATATCCCAGCCTATTGTCTTCATATCCCAGCTCATTGTCCCCATATCCCAGCTTCTTGTCCTCATATCCCTGCAACTTGTTCTCATATCCCAGATCCTTTTCCTCATATCCCAGCTCCTTGTCCTCATTTCCCAACTCCTTGTCCTCACATCCCAGTTTTTTTCTTCTTCATATCCTCGCTTCTTTTCCTCATATCCCAGCGCCTTTTCTCTTATCTCAACTCCTTGTCCTCATGTCCCTGCACCTTGGTATCATATCCCAGCTCCTTGTCCTTATATCCCAGCTCCTTCACAACGCGTTACAGCTCATTGTCCTCATATCCTATCTCCTTGTCCTCATATCCCAACTCCTTGTCCTCATAATCCAGGTCTTTGTCCTCATATCCTAGATCCTTTTCCTCACACCCCAGCGCCTTGTCCTCATATCCCTGCTAATTGTCATCATATCTCAGCCCCTTGTCCTCATATACCATCTGCTTGTCATCATATCCCTATCCTTCTCCTCATATCACAGCTTCTTGTACTGATATCCCAGCTTCTTGTTGTCATATTCCAGCTCCTTGTTCTCATATCCTAGCCCCTGGTCCTTATATAAAGCTCCTTGTTTGCATATCCAAGCTCCTTGACCATATATCCCTGCTCCATACCCTCGTATTCCTGCTCCTTGTCCTCGTATCACAACTACTTGGTTTCATATCCCAACTTCTTGTCCACATATCCCAGCTCATTTTCTCTTATCTCAACCCCTTGTCCTCATATTCCAGAACCATATTCTCAAATACCAGCTCCTTGTCTTCATAGCCCAGCTCCTTGTCCTCATATCGTAGCTCCTGGTTCTCATGTTTCAGCTCCTATTCCTCATATCCCAGCTCCTTGTTCTCATATCCCCGCTCCTCGTTCTCATATCCCAGCTCCATGTCATCATATGACAGACCCTGGTTCACATATCTCAGCTCTTTGTCCTCATATCGAAGCTCTTTGTCCTCATATCCAATCTCCAAGTTCACATACCCCCAGCTCCTTGTCCTCATATCCCAGCACCTTGTCCTTATATCCCAGCTCCTTCACCTCACATTACAACTCATTGTCCTCATATCCTAGCTCCTTGTCCTCATATCCCAGCACCTTGTCCTCATATCCCAGATCCTTGTCCTCATACCTCAGCCCCTTGTCCTCATAGCTCAGCTTTTTGACTTCATATTCTAGCCCATTGTTCCCAAAATCTTGCTCCTTGTCCTAATATCCTAGATCTTTGCCCTCATACCCCAACCCCTTGTCCTCACATTCCAGCTCCTTGTTCTCATATCTCAGCTCATTGTCCTAATATCCAAGATTTTTTGTACTCTTATCCAATTACTTGTCGTCATATCCCAACTCCTTTTCTTTATATCCCAGCTCTTTGTCCTCATCTCCCAGCTCCTAGTCCTCATATCCCGGCTCAATATTCTCATATCCCAGCCCCTGGTCGTCATATCTTGAGTTATCTTGAGTTGATTTCGGGGCTTTAGTGTCCCCGCGGCCCGGTCCTTGACCAGGCCTCCACCCCCAGGAAGCAGCCCGTGACAGCTGACTAACACCCAGGTACCTATTTACTGCTAGGTAACAGGGGCATTCAGGGTGAAAGAAACTTTGCCCATTTGTTTCTGCCTCGTGCGGGAATCGAACCCGCGACACAGAATTACGAGTCCTGCGCGCTATCCACCAGGCTACGAGGCCCATATATCAGCTTCTTGTCCTAATATCCCAGCTTCTTGCCCTTATATCCCAGCTTCTTGTTCTCAAATCTCAGCTCCTTGTCCTCATTCCATCTTCTTGTCCTCAAATCCAAGTTCCTTATTCTCACATCCAACTTCATGTTCTCATATCCCAGCACCTGGTCCTCATATCTCAGTTCCTTGTTCTAATATCCCAGCTTCTTGTCCTCATATCCCCGCTCCTTTTCCTCATGTCACAACTCATTCACCTCATGGTACATCTCATTTTCCGCATATCCTACCTCCTTGTCCTCATATCTCTGCTACTTGTCCTCATCCTCTAGACCCTTGTCCTAATATCCCTGCTCCTTGTCCTCATATCCCAGCGCCTTGTCCTCATATCCCAGCTCCCTGTCCTCATGCCCCAGCCCCTTGTCCTCATATCCCAGATCTTTGTCCTCATTTCCTAGCTCCTATTTCTCATATTCCAGCTATTTTTCCTTATGTCCATCCTCCTTGTCCTGATATCCTAGCTCCTTTTCCCCATATACCAGCTCCTCCTTCTCATATTCCAGCTCCTTGTCCTCATATCCCTGTTCCTTGTCCTCATATTCCAGCTCCGTGTCTTCATATCCCAGCCCCTTGTCCTAATATTCCAGGTCCTTATCCTCATATCCCAGATCGTTTATCAAAATATCCCACCATCTCTTCCTCTATTGCCGTCTCCATGTCTTCATATCCCAACTTTTTGTCCTCATATCCCAGTTCCTTTTCCTCATATCCCATCTCCATGTCCTCATATCCCAGCCCCTGATTCTCATATCTCAGCTACTTGCCATCACATCCCCGTTCCTTGTCCTCATATCCCAGCTCATTGTTCTCATATCTCAGCTATTTGTCCTTATATCCTAGCTCCTTGTCCTCATATCCTAGGTCCTTGTTCTCATATCCCAGCCACTTGTCCTCATATCCCAGCTCCTGGTCGTCATATCCCAGCTTCATATCCTCATATCACAACTCCTTGTTCTCATATCTCAGTTTCTTGTCCTCATATCCCAGCTCCTTGCCCTCATATCCCAGCTTCTTGTCCTCATATCCCAGCTCCTTGTCCACATATCTCACATTTTTTGTCATCATATCCAGTTCCTCTGTACTCATATACCAGCGCCTTGCCTTCATATCCCAGCACCTTGTCCT